GGGTCCTTCAAAATTTAGGATTTCTCGCAAGTCCATCCCCAACCTTTTGTTACATGAGGTAGAAAACAACAGTACATACTACTTCTTTCGACCTGAATTAGTGGTCCCATTTTTTTTTTTTGGGTAATAAAGGACAAGTGGTCCCATTTTATTAATTTATAATTACTAATGAATTCATTTATTATGACATAAAATTTACTTACTATAATAATTACTCTTTCTGTCTCAAAATAATTCTGTTTATTATTTTTTTACCAAATTAAGAATTTAAAAATAATTCATGTAATTACTTTTATTATTCTTTAAAAAAAGTTAAAAATAAAGTTAGACTTTTTGTGATAAAATAATTAATCAAAATAAATAGATAATGATAAGGTTAAATTATTAAAAAAATAATTATTTACTTCAAAAAATAAAAAAATGACATTTAATTTAAAACAAACTTAAAATTAAAAAAGTAATAGTTATTTTAAGAGAGAGAAAGAGTAGGAATTATGTTTCCATTTTCACATTTACTTACAATTAAAAAAAAATCCTAATGCATTTCTATAACTTTTGAAATAAAGGTAAAATTAAAATTTTAGCATTCAATATTTTATTAAAATAGAAAATGAGACAATTAAATTAAATTACTACAATATAGAAAGTGAAACAGTTAAATCATATCAAATGGAGTAGTATAGGTAGAACCTCCAAATTTACCTATCAAATAAGAGACTAGAGATAGATTCACCCTTCAAAAAAAAAGATAAATTGTCTTTTTAAATTATTAATCAAAATAAATCAATTATTATTTAACATATGATATCACCACATGTCAGCTTTCCATTAAAAAAATTTTAGGTGACAAATAGATTTTTAACATGTGATAACATTACATGTTAAATAATAAATAATTTATCTTAATTAATAATTTAAGAAGAAATTTGTTTCTAGTTTTTAAGAGTGAATTTGTCTCTAATCTTTTATTTAAGGGGTGAATTTAAAAATTCTCCTAGATAGTACACAACAACTTTGTGTCGTTAATGCTTCTCTCAAAATTATAGAGCTTGTTTAAAAATTTGATTTTTGACAATTTTAGTTTCGTTTGATAATAGTTCACACAAACTTTTTTAACATAACACCTTATTTTAAAAAATAAATTTATTATTT